ACATTGCGGTCTTTCACAAGTGTGAAATGCAGGTGCCGGTTGAAGTTCTTCTTCAGCTCCGTCACATTCTCCACGCCGGCCAGGCCACGCACGCTAATTTGCTTCCTTTTCTCCTGGTCTGACAAGGGCCGGGACATGGCTGCAGGAGGGCGGGCCGGACTGATGGGTGGCCTCAGCAGTGCCTCCAGCCAGGGAGTGGAGATCCCCAGCTGCCTGGGGTTTTAAAGCCTGGCTCTGGGGAGCTTGCCCCGCCTCCCCCTGCGATGGGAGGGTCTTGGCCGGGCGCCTCAGGGAGCTATTTTGGGGGCAAGGGGAGGAGAAGGGAGACGGGCAGGGAGAGCAGAGCGGAGCTCCACAAGAGCCAGGCCAGGCCCAGCCTGGCTCCTTCGCAGCCCTGCGCTGACCCACTTGTTCCAGGCCTCGCCCACTGGGGTCTTTGGTGCCCGTCTCTGCCTTTCACGGGGTCAGAGGCAAGATGCAGCAGGCAGTGTGGCCTTGAGAGGCCTGCGGTTTGACTGGAGCCGTTGGGGCTGTGACTTTGGCTAAGAGGTTGCCCTGATCTGGGTCCTTTTCCTGGGTTATGGATTGGGGGCCTGGGGGGGGGGGAGATTTCACCCCCACCCCACCCCCCCCTGCACACCCCCCCGAGGGCGCTGTGGGGGGGGGGGCGGGGGGAACAGGTGCCAGGAGACCCCGCCTTCATCCAAGCAGCTTGGTTTCTCTTTCAGACATTTGCCCAAAGACTGCAAACCACCGGCTGGATGACCTCTGGTCAAGTTTCCACGGTGGCCTTACGTGGGGGGCGCAGGGGTCTGCACTCGGGTAGCAAGGTCATATATCGGGGCAACAGGGGCAAGGAGCCAAGGGTCAGGGTGCCCCGAACAGGAGACGTGTAGCTAGCAGAGGACGCTGGGTGTCTGGGAGAAGGGGGACCGGGGGACTCCGGGTTCCAGGGGGTTGTGTGAAGGTCGCCTGAGGCAGGGCCACTGCCCCCACGCCACCCCCACCCAAGCTGAGCCACTCCGAGATCCCCCCTGTTGCTGTCCTTCAAGGAGCTCTGAAGTGACCTTTCGAGAGTGGTGGTAATCAGATTACAGGCTGGCTCTGGCTAGGGGCTGCCAGCCCAGAGCAGGGGCCTCTGGGAACTGTAGTCCTGTGCCCACAGGGGCAGGAGAAGCCAGCATCCCCCACCCACTCGTAACATTGGCCAGTGGTATTGGGTCTCTCTGTGATGCAGCTGCCAGGTGATTGGAGACCTTCTCCCACTCATTCCTCCCACCTGGGGCCACAGTACTGGACAGGGACTCAGTGGGCCAAGGTTCACGGCCGTGACCCCACCTGTAAAGTGGGAGCCTCGGCACCGGGAACCTTATACCACTTCCTCGTCTTCATGGCCTGGCAGCTCCAGGACCTTCCCTTGGAGGCTCTGGCTGTCCCCGATCCACCGCTCACGCCCTGGCCCCGGCACTGATTTGCTGTGTGACCCGAGGCTGGTCGCTTTACTATTCTGAGCCTTGAATTCCTTCATCCAATTTATACTCTCAAATAAGAATATAAATTCCTGCCTCCGCCTGCTGCTGCCTCCTACTCTTATGGAGGCCGCCTTTTGGATCCTGCTTTGTTCTTTGAGCAAAAGGAGCCCAAGGCTTTGTGCAATTTCAAAGGATGCCTGGGCCTCCGGGCAGCGGGCTGGTGGAGAGCAAGAACTGGGTGTTCTGGTCTGAGGGCCAGGGAAGCAGGTCAGAGGCCTGGACGGCCGCAGGACGTTACTGAGAGCCTGGCTTGGGGGAAGGCCGAGTTGTTTCCGAGGAAATCCTGAGCCACAGCAGGCCCAGCCCTGGAATCACGAGCGTGGTGTGGGGTCTACACTCCAAGTCTTCCAACTCCCAAGCGCTGCTCTCGTCTGCCCCCAAACAGCATTACTGGGTTGATCTCCCCAGGCCGCCATGCTTCATAGTGAGAAAAAAGATCAGGAAAATACCGAAATGTGCCTACACGGGCATGGTGGGAATACAGAAAACTTCCTTAAATGCTCCCATCTGCAGCCCCACCCACGGGGCTGTGCCTCTGCGGGGGTCACCCACCCTCCAAACCCTTGTCTCCAGGTGGGTGGGTCGGGTCTCCGGGCTTGGCCAGCATCTTGGGCCGCGGGGGCTGGACTCACTCGCCAAAGGCTGGCTGCTCTGAGTAGAGCTCAGGAAGCTCCTTGGTCCTGGAAGCACAATAGTCCTGGAGAAAGCCCCACGTTCCCTGTGCAGTCACCTCGCACCCAAGTTGTGACGGGACCCTGCCCACACAAACCTCTGCCCTGACCTCTAATGGCCTACAAGTTCATTTTCCTGCCGCCAGGGACCTGCTCCCAACCATTCCCAAATTCTCATCTGCTCCCCAGATGAATCCAAGCCTCTTCTGGCTGGCTGGCTCTGACGCCCCTCCTGGTGTACCAGCGCCTTGCTGGCCCTTCTGTGCTCAAGGCACTGGCTCAACAGGGATTTGTCCCATTTCTACTAGGAAACAGAAATTACTTTTTATTATTTTTTTTTAATTTTTTTTTCAACGTTTATTTTTATTTTTGAGACAGAGACAGACAGAGCATGAACAGGGGAGGGGCAGAGAGAGAGAGGGAGACACAGAATCGGAAACAGGCTCCAGGCTCCGAGCCATCAGCCCAGAGCCCGACGCGGGGCTCGAACTCACGGACCGCGAGATCGTGACCTGGCTGAAGTCGGACGCTTAACCGACTGCGCCACCCAGGCGCCCCCAGAAATTACTTTTTAAAAGTAGGCTCCGTGCCCAATGTGGGGCTTGAACTAACGACCCCTGAAACTAAGGGTCACATACTCTACCAACTGAGTCAGGATGGCGCCCCAGGAGAAATCGCCTTTTTTTTTTTTAAACCTTTGTTTTATTCTAAAGTAGGCTCCGCACCCACAATGGGCTTGAACTCACGACCTTGAGATCAAGAGTCTCACACTCTATGGACTAAACCAGCCAGGCGCCCAGAATTACTTTTGACCTCTCTGACTACCCCCTTGTGGGTCTCCAGTGGCCCCCACTGGAGTGACGCCACCCCAGGGAACCCCCCTTTTATTTTGCAAGCCCCAGCCCAGCATGATGAAACCTTGAAGGCTCAGGCTGACCTACTTGCCTCCCCATGTCCTCTCCAATCCCTCATTCCCCATCCAGTGCTGCGTGTGCAGATCAATCTTGAACCCTGGAAGCACTTGACCAACCCGAGTAACTCAAGGTTGTTTATGTCTGACTAGGTTTCTAACCAGAAATCCTGCCTCCTTCTCCGGACCAATCTTGGGTTTCTCCAGAGCCTGAACACTGACCTTTCCCAACCGGTGTTCCTTTCACCAACCAGGCTGAGGGGGCAGGGAGCCAGTGCCGAAGTGACAGGACAGACGGGCTTGAGCAAAGGGCTTTTCCTGCACTCTTTCGGGTCCTAAGGCGGGTGGGAAAGCATTTCTCCTCTGTCCCCACTCTTGCCTCAGAGGCAGGTAGCTCCCTACACTTCTGAAGGCCAAGCCTCTCTCTCATCTCAGGGCCTGGAGCTCCTTGGAGAAAGGCCCAGAGACGTGCCTTAGCTAGCCACTTTGTTACTCCCCAAAACCTTAACAGAAGCTGACGGCGGGGAGCAGGGAGGGAGCTAGCACAGGAATGGAGCTGGCCCCAGGGGAGAGAGACGGAGGAGATAGCTGGGCTGTGGTTAAGTCATTTATTGATTTTATTTCTAAAACCCACATAGCGCCACTTTGCCTCTTCCAGAGCTTCAAAGAGCTAATTAACCGCCCAATGAGCCCACCAGGGAAACCGAGCTTGTGGGGGAAGCAATGAGGTGAAGCCAAGGTCAAAGAGGGTTGCTAGGCCCCAGGCCCTGCCCCCATTCCCCCAGTTAAGGACAAAGAGAAAAGAGCCTGTTCTCTTCGTTTAGTCACCTGTAGTCTCAGGGCCTGGTTAGGGAAACCCACTGAACGCGCCTCCCTCCTGAGGGTTTCCTGAACCCCGCAGGCCTACGGCAGAGATACAGACGCCCTGGACGGGGCCCACAAAACCGGGCCGTGCTCCACACAGAAGGCACCGATCGGGCGGGCCCAACCTGAAGGTGGAAAGCAGCCCAGGCCGGAGCTGCCCCCACCGGCCAGGTGCTGGGGCGGCAGGGGCGTGCTGTCCCTTAACCTCCTCCAAAGGAAGGAGAGGCTGCCAGGAAAGGCAGGCTCCACGCAGGCTCCCCAGGGGTGGTGCGGCACCGCGGTGGCAGCGGTCGGGCGAGGACCTCGCTGCCTCGTGCAGCCCTGACGTGGGTTTTTTTTCTGCGGCCACAACAGGCACCATCCACTGCCCCGCCCGTGAAAGAACAAAACGGCCCGAGACCCCTGCGAAGAAGTGCTTACAAAAAGTGCACATGGGGCACTTTTTCTCGCCCCCACCAACCCCCAAAGCCCGCAGCGCCGGCAGGCTGCAAGCAAGTCACGGGCAGAGAAAGAAAAAGCCACTTGGCGGTTTTAATTTTAGCTGCTCTGTGCCTCACAGGCAGGATTAGTTGGCTTGACCTTTAGTGCTGATGCCTCCCTAGGCCCAGGGCCTTGGTCAGGTGGCGGCTTCCAGGCAGAAGTCGCAACCAGAGCTCATGGGGGGAGGGGGGGGTGTGGTGTGTGTGTGCGTGTTGGGGGGGGGGGGGTGTCCCAGCCCCAGGGAAACGCTTTCAAAAGAACAGGGACCAGGGGAATGAGGGGTGATGGAGGCGAGGAGGGGGGTGCGAAGAACCCGAGTCTCAGCTAGTAAACCAGGGAGAGATGGCGGGACCACCCACACACTCAAGCTCCCACCGGCAAAGCCACACGGGGGGACACAGGTGGGAGGCTCCTTAATTAGTGTCCCAGCAGTCCCCCAGAAGAGACCGGGGCGGCTGGGGCCAGGTGCTGAATGGAGGTAAAAAAAGTAACTCTGGTGCTGGTGGAGGGAATCTAAGAAGAGAAAATGAAGAAACAGACCCAGAAAACCACACTGCTCTTTTATTCAATGGAACACCCCCCTTTAACGCAGTGTTGAATCATACACCGAAAAAAAAGCCCAGAGAAATTTCTGCAGATAAACCAGTGAAGAGAACGCGCGTTATACATTATTGTCAACATAATCACTCCATGAAGAGGGAAGGGGAGGAAAAAGGAAGTAGAACGAAAAACGAGGGGCTCAAACCCTTAGACACTGCAAAACATTCAGACGTTTGGGATTAAAATAAAATTTAAAAGGAAACCTTCCAGGAAGGAGAGGAACAAATGGAATCTGAGGCAGCTTAGATGCTCAGGGAGCATGGAAAGGACTCTCCAGGGTGGCAGACGAGCCCAACGTGGCTTGGGTGGCCCCACCTAACGCTGGCAGGGGTGCCGGGATAGGTGTCGACCCAGAACCTGGAAATGAACCCACTTCTCTACAAAGGTGGCAAAGACAAAAATCTCACACTACAGAAAGAACAAAAAAAAAAAGTCTCTGGGGTGGTCATGGCAACCTTGAAAATTTTAGAACCAAAGAACCCCCCCCTCCCGCCCCACCCCCGCAACTAGCCTGACATCAATGGCTAAAGCTTGCGCCTAAAACCATTTGCTCCCTCCTCTCCTTAGGAAGAGAAGAACAAGGAACGGAGAAAAAGGAAAGGAATCTAATTGCAGCAGAAGATCGGGGAAGAGCATCTCCTTGGACGGAGTCTGAAGAAAGGAAGAGATCAGGAAATAACAAAGGAAAAAGAAAAAAATTAATAAAAATTTCACGATATGGAGCCAGCGTGTTCCGATTCCGTCCACAAAAATAACTCAGGCTGCTTTGCCGAACCATCCTGTCCACCAGGGGCGCTGCTGAGGCTGTCTGCCTGGAAGGGTCACCAATGGGCGCGGAAAGTCCTCACTCTCATGGCTCGGGCCATCGCCGCCGCGGGGAGGGATCCTGGCGGCCCGGTTTGGGGAGAGGCAAAGGGAGTTGGGTGAGGAGAGAAAGAAGACAAAGAAGACACTCGATGCTACGGGGCGCCAGGAGAGCCCAAGCTGGCGCCCCTACTACCACCTGCCCGTTCCCAAGCGAGTCCTCAGTCGCTTGGCCCAGCCCGGTGCGTGCACACACACACATGCGTGCACACCAATCACATGCGTGCATCCCAATGTCTGGCTCCATATGGTGAGGTTCGGCGTGTGTTTAAACGAGACCAATTCTCTCTCTATATAATATATATTTTCTTAAAAAAACCGAGTCTAGTTCTGTGGTGGAGGCGGTGGGGGAGCTGGAGGCATCCCGAAGGGCGGCATGCCCGCCACCCCCATGCCCATCATGGTGACAAAGTTAGAAGGGTCCATGGGAGGCGGAGGAGGAGGGGGCGGGGCATACATCATGCCGGCGGAACCAGGCGGCGGAGGCGGCGGAGGGGGAGGGGCCCCGGGCGGCAGAGGCGGCTGGACCCCGGGGGGCAGGGGCACCATAGTGGGGTTGCCTTGCATCTGAGGGGCTCCTGGAGAAGCTGCGGCAGCCGCCTGCTGCTGTTGCCATGGCGGGATGGACCCTGTGCCAGCGCTCGTGGTGGTAGTCGTCGTATCTGGGGTGGTAAAGAAGCCCAAGGTCACACGCGCGGGGGCACACCGCGGCTCTCTGCGGCTGCTGCCTTGGGATGGGGGGGCGAGGGGCGCCTGCTCCTTGCTTGGCATGCGGTACGGTGGTGGGGGGCGGGCGGGCGGGGCGGTCCTGGTGATGGGGAGTGGAGGGGTGGGCAGGACTACCCTGGGGTCAGCCTCGAGGTCTCTGGGCTTAACAGAGTAAGCCCTTTGTCACCAATGCCCGTGGAAGGGCTGAGGGAAAGGTACCAGACACAAGAACCGGCTCTGACGTCCCTCCGCCCATCCGCCGCCACCACCGAACGGCACATTCAACCTCAAGGCCACAGCTACTCTCCCCACAGCCCGGTCCCATCCCTGCAGTCTCTCAGGCCCCAATCACATCCCTCTCCACAGCATGCAAGCACCCTCTCCACCCCGGCCCTCCGCACAGGCTCGGGCCAGCCACTGGCTGGCAGCTCACGCAGCCCACCGAGAGCCTGGATTTCCGGCACCCTACCTACGATGGCAGGTTCCCTCCAGGTCCCCCAAGACCTCTCCCCAGACACAACCACGCCAAACATCAGCTCTCTTCCCCAAGATCCCCAGGAGGGCCAGGAGGCCCTTTCTGTTTACACCCCCAGCAGAGACCAGAGTCTCCTCCCAGGGTGTCCGCCTGCCCGCGTGAGCTGCGAGGTTCTCTTGTCCCTCTCAGCCCCACCTCCCCATCCCACCCACCCCCACAAGCCCAAAATATTCCACTCACTTTGCTGCCATGGCAAGGGGGTACTGGAAGCCATACTGCTGCTGGGCGGAGGGGGTGGCGGAGGCTGCTGCTGCTGCTGCTGCCATGGGGGAAGAGGGCCAGAGGGAGGGGGCGGGGGCTGCCCACTGGGAGGCGGCGGCGGCGGCGGCATCATGCCCATAGGCGGCGGTGGCATCATACCTGCAGGCAGGCGGAGGCAGGGGTGAGGCCTCAGGGGAGGAGAGACCGGAGACCCCACTTGCGCCCAGGGCACACCCCAAAGGGAGCAGGGGACAGGCTGTGTTACCTTTTCCTTGATGCAGGCGATAGACCCCAGAGCCCACAGGCGTACTTCCCAGGTACTGATCTTGATGGAAGGAAAGAGCAGGGACTTAGCAGGACATTGGAACCAGCCAGAGAAGACGCCCCCACCGACAGCTCGGTCGCTCACAGAGCCTGCAACCGCTACCGTTCTAAGAACAGTTCTAGGACTGTTGCCTTGAAGAGGGAGGCCTCTGTCTACCCCACACAGAAAACACTTCCTGAACCAGAACAAAGTCCTGCTCCTTCTGGAGCCCGAGCCTTGGCAGGAGACCTGGTGCGACACCCAGCCACTCCGAGGGCTGCTTCCGGTTCGCAGCAACCTGATGTAACCCTTGCTTATCCCAAAGCCCCAAGGTTTCTGGTCTGACACTTACTTACCCATTGGAGGAGGGCCATGATGCCCAGGTGGGTGGGGGCCCTGGTTCATCGGTGGTGGTGGCGGCTGCATCCAAGGGGGTGGGGGTCCATTAGGGTTGTGCTGCATGGGATGTCCACCGTGCCCACCTGTCAGGCTGGGTAACGGGTGTGGGAAGCTGTGGGGGCCACCTCCGGGCCCACCAGGACCACCTCCGTGCATGCCGTGGTAGGGCCGACTCTCTGAAGGGCCCGAATTCATCCAGGGTGGGCGGCTCTGGGTGGTGGACATGAGAGACTACGTGAGAGCATTTCCCGCCAACGTCCCTGCCTGCTCCCCCTGGTGGCAACACTGTTCTTTCGGCTCTGTCAAGAGGTCCAGAACCCGAAGACGGGATCTTCCCAAAGCGAGAGATCCCCAAACATCCTGACATCCGGAAGAACAATGTTGCCAGCCACGTCCGCCAACCTGCTCTACCCAGAGTACCTGGCCACAGCACCCCCGTCTCTGAGGAAGAGAACGGGGGACCGGGCCACAAAAACCAGCCCCTGAAACTCACCGGGGGAGGTGGGTTGTTGGCAGGAGCAGCAGGCCGAGGCGCACTGGCCAGGGGCGTGGTGGCAGGCCCAGAGGTGGAGCCCACGGATGCTGGCACAGGGGCTTCGCCCAGTTCAGCCATGAGGGACAAATACTCTTTATCCATCCGTGCTTTATCCTGAGCTGACTGGGGGTCACCAGGCCTGAAGGTGGGATAGGGAATGGAGAGAGAAAAGAGAAAAAAAAAAACGCCTTCATTATTAAAAAAAAGTTTCACGTTCTGAGAAATTGACAGAGTTTTGAGGAATCCAACGATCCTTCCTCAAAATAGTCTCATCCAATTTTCAGTTCTGTGCCCAGCTCTGCATCTGAGATTACCACGCGGATCTCTGCCACAACAGAGAAGACGGAGATCATACGACCACGCCAGCCACGGGAGCCAGGAAAGCACAGGCTCTTCCAAAAAACAAACTTGCATCAGATCCTACATTCCCAGTTTGAGGAAAGGAAAATATATGCAAGACGAGAGCACCTGCCAGGTTTTCCAAAGTAAAAAAAAGGAGAAAACTGTTGCCATCAAGGGCTGGTTCAAAACCGGTCAAGAATCCAGACTGCTTAGCAGCAAAAAGTAGTTAACACTGAGGCACAGTATATCCAAAATGGAAATTTCCAGTGTTCCTGAACTCAAGACGAGCCACAAAATACAGGTGTTCTGCACAAGCTGCTCCTCATCATCCTGGGCTTTAACATCACACCGTCACAGACCACATTCACAGAAAGGGAGCATCTCTCTGGTCCAAAAGTTAATAGGAACCAACCAACAACGTGCTAAAAAAAAAAACAAAAAACAGTTTCGTACACCACAGGCTACAAAGAAGCTCCAACTCCAGCCGCTCACCTTTGGAATTTACAATCGGAAGCAATATGGCCAGCCCCTCCACACTTGGTACACACTGTGGTATTGGTAATGCTGCGGGTCTCTGAGCTCTGCCAAGGTCTTAAGATCCTGTCAAGGAAGAAAAAACAAACACACACAAAAAGACAAAGTCATCTCAAGAGCCACGGTCAAGCTCCCTACTCCCACAGGTTCTTTAGGTCCGAGTGCACTCTCCCTCCCTTCAAAACTGATGCCACACCTGTTATCATCTTCTCGAAGGGTCCCATTCAAACGGGCCAACTCCCGAAGCTGCATCTTCCGTAGATCATTCTGGTCCTCGGGGGTCTCAATACCCTGCTTCAGGATGTTTCTTATCTAGCGGAGATGAAACAGTCAGTCATGTAAGCACCGGGGCCACTGTATGACTTCTAGCAATAGGCTTCCTTTCTGGCTGCCTCACCTGTTCCACAGCTTTCTTCACATTCTCCATGGTGTTGGCGGTAACCAGGGCATGAAGTGGTTCATCTTCTCCAGGCAACATCTGGCCATCTTTGCGCCCAACCTTCCCTTCTTTGACAGACCCTTTTCCCCGAATCATAATCTTGGCGTTACATTCCTTCTCGATGTTCTTCAAGGTGTTCCCTCTATCAGAGGCAGAATGAACGGAGTTTTTGTATTCGCCAGGCCAAGTTCACATGCCAGAAGAGACAGAGCGGGCTGATCACACTGGCAGAAAGTGTGACAGCACGGAGTTGGATTTTCCCACCAAAAGCTCCATGACCCCCAAGTGAAGGCCGGCCATAGCAAACGATCCCCAAGATCAGACTTCTCTGCAGTAAGAGGCCGAAGTTAAAGAGATTTTCTCACAGAAAGGCGTGAACTCCCACCCAAAACGGGAAGGCAAGCTATCAATTGTACCCAATGGGGCCTAAGATCGATCCATCTCACGGGGTGTCAGGAATGACGCACTGTCCCATAGGACAGCACTTACTCACCTGGGCCCAATCAGCAGCCCCACAAAGTTGATTTCTGGATACTCATCTTGTGGAATCATTACTTTATCGCTCACCCGTGTTGCTGGAGGTCTAAGAAAGAAAAGACTCATGGACTCTGCGTGTTTCTGAGACGGGACACCGACATTCCACAGCTCTTCTAAACCTGAGCTTGCTACCATGTGTTAATCACACGTGATTTGGGGCAAGAGAGGAGACATGGGTACCAAAACGGTTCTACCACCAGCTCACACGTGGCCCACACGTGCCCTTGTCCCGGACCGGCCAGCCCCTCTGCTTACTTGTAATCTGCAGGCGGCTTGAAATCAGGGTTGAGGGCAACCATCTCCGTGATGAGGTTGTGCCGCTCCTCTTCGAGCTTTTTGCGGGTGCGGAACTCGCGGGTGTTAAGCCGCTTCCCCTCGCTATTGTAGATGGGCTCAGGGGAAGGGGACCTGTGGGAAACAGAGCCCCGTTATGGCTCTGCCTTCACTTTTCTCATCCCACACGGGCTAAAATTAGTCTTCCCCAGCCCCTCTGCCTCTCAGACCCTAACACAACACTCTTCGGAGGAACCGACCATAACGTGTGCTATTCAAGATCGTGTGGAGTGGGGAGATGAAAGCTGGCTTAGCATAGGGGGACTGGGGTGTGTGTGAGAGAGGAAAAAAAAACGGTCTGGCTTCTAATTGTTGAGAAGAAAAAAGTCTGTCCTTCTGGGGGGAAATCTTTGGACTGTAAATGGCAAGGACAGTATCATCTTCTGGAGTCTTCTTGCCAAGTATGGATTTTTCTTTCGTTTTTAAAAAAGCTGTACAATCTTACAACTCTACGAACCACGGAAACCCCAAGTTTAGGTAAAATGTGGACTCTTGCAGAGCTCGCGCCCTAGCAGGAAGAGTGTCTGCACCCCTACCGCAGAGTAAGTACGAGCTCTTTAACCCAATGCGACTGGGACTCAAGGCTGCTGCAGCTACTTGGCCCCACAATGGAGAGAGATGGTTCAAGGCTTCGTCTCTGCTTTTCCTTCAATGGCCTGGCTGGCTGTGTCCAAGGCCCAGGAGCCAACCTGTTTTCTGGCTGTTCGAGGTTGGGGAGTCTGGGTAGAGAAAACCGTTAAAGTGCTAAAGCAGCTTCTGCTAGAGGCTGCAAGTGCAGATTTGGTCAAGTACTTGTCTAGGGTCTGGACCTGCAAACGGCAAGGGGAAAACCTAGGATTCTCCACCAGAGTTTACAAGTCCAGAAAGCAGATTTTCTCTCTCTCATTTTTTTAAGGAGTAAAATGCTGTTGCTACAAGTAAAAAAATAGTAACGATAAAATGGTCAGTTTACCACAGCTGGATTTTGCGGTAATAAAAAAGAGAAGTTACGCTCCTAGAATTCTGAGTTGAGATTACAAAAAGGACCATAGCTTGATATTCTGAATGAAAATTTAGTAGCAGCTGCAAGAAGGGAAGAGATCATGTGGATCAGGTTATTAAAAAAACATCCTGAAAGTAGTCAAGACTCCTATACCCTTGGTTTAGTTGAGAGAACCTTGCCTAGTTGGAGAGCAAGGACTGAACTCGGCTGCTCCCACTGTCTTCAGCCTAAAGGGAACCATGTCATACCACATTACACACACGATGGAATAAAAGGTCAGGTTTGTTCATGGCTAATGACGACTAAATGACACCTCCGTTTCTAGCATTTATATAAACTGTTGACACAATCCAATGATAGTGAACAAAAGCAAACATACCCCAGCTCATTAGACTATCAGCTTACACATTTATGTCTATAAGAGATCTTAAAAACATTTTTAACTGTGCAACTTAAGCAACATCAAAATAGCAGAAAGTGGCTTGATATTGAGAATACACCTTCTTAAGAAATAACCTTATTAAGGTAAGAAACTCATGCAATTCCCTCCAACCTGGGCTCAAAAGCAAAACCAGTCAGGCATTAGGCCCTCTTTCAAACTGAATACAAGAGAGAAGAAAACTCTGCTCTGGTTTGATTTCTAACATGCTTGACATTTCTAATTCTCACCCCACAGCTGTCTAGAATGTAAGCATTTCTAGCTAATCAACAAAACAAGTTTTACCGGTACCAAATCGGTCATTTAAAAGCCTCCCCACAGTTTAACCTCTTCCCAAATTGTGGATGTGAAAGGCAATAGCTAATATTCTAGAGGTTAGATTGGCCCAACTTCTTCACTTCGAATAGGCATCACATAGATGAACTAAACTCTAATCCCAGTTCTCCAGGAAGCAAAGGTTTGTTAAAAATTCAACCTTTTGAGGAATTGCCTGGTAACCTGTTAGACATATTACTAAAGGGAAAAAGGCCAAAAAAAAAAAAAAAAGCAAAAAAAAAAAAGCACTGAACAGTTGTGGTCTACAACCTACAATGCAAATCTTGAAGGGGGGGAACAACACCAAAAAATATAAAACACAACCTTCCAACCAAAACCTACAGATAAAAAATAACAAATTCAATCATGTAAAATGAGAGAACACATGGAGAAATTAATTTGTTCCCTGGCAAATGGCAGCAGAAAGATGCATTGAGTGAGTGGCTTCTAAAACCATTACATCATCTTCCTGATTTAACAAGCCATTAATTGGGTAATAAAAGCCGAAAACACTAACTTTTAAAGGGAAGTGCTTTCAACTATGCTGCCTGCACTAAGAGAAACTTCACAGAGAGGGAGGCATACTGCCCTTCGATTAGACTTTAGTGGTTTCAAGTTCAACCAGTCAGTCAAATTCCTGGTTAAAAAGTTCATTTCCCTCAGACTTTTGACTTTTCAAAGGTGAGAGAAATGATAAACAGAGATGACATGACCACAGCTGTTTGAAAACCACACTCTTATAAAAAATAAAGGTGATTTAGGGTTGGTTGCTAGCCTTCCCCAGATAGGTGAGAAATGTTCTGGCCCCTCCCAATACCCCCAGGCAATGGCCAAGGCTGAAAATTCACTGGCAGTGAAGGAAGCTGGTTAGAAATCTCATCTATTTTAAAACCATCTCAAAACCATGAGGAGGACTGCAGCAATGAGCTAACCAGGTAAGAGTTTCTGGTCTGCTCAAACTCAGTGATGCTCAAAAATATTCTTAATCCCTGCATCGTGTACCTGTGAGAAAAACTCTATACCCTCGGCTTTCCACCACAGCGGTTACTGTAAAGGCTGGTGAACAGGCCACCTCACTGTCCCTACTACGGGTGGGTAAATCAGGTGAAAATCTACATGCTTACCAATTGGAAACCAGTTGTCCATTTTCCCGTTAACTTTTTACTCTGCTAGTAATTAAGTTGCATTCCAATTTTCTAACTGATGACTAACCATACGGATTGCTAATTAAACCCTAGGCCCAAGAGTCAGAGTATTAGCAGTCGTCTTACTATGATTTCTTTGAACTGACACAATATGTTGCCACCAGTAAAACGTATTGAGAAAAAGGTAAAAGCGTTACTGTCAGCTGGTTAAAACTGTTTCCCAACCTGTCCTCAGGGTTAGGGGGGATGCCCAGGTCTCCTGTGCGCAGTTTACGAGTCAGGTCTTCTATCTGCAGTTGCACTGGAAGAAACCAGGTTAGGAAAGAAAAAAAAAGGATGGAAAAAAGACAATGTTACCAAAAAACATCTCAAATCTCAACAACAAGCATGAAGAACTCGGAGACTTTGAAAGGGACGACTGATCAGTGAACACTCTGAGGCAAAAACCCCCAACCGCCTATCGGCAGGAGTCCATTTACATCTACAGGTATTTTTCACTTCAAAATGGTTATCACTTAAGGAAGCAAACAGTTTGTTGGAAGAGGGGTTAGCGGTATAGACTGTTTACTAAGGCTAACGTCAAAGCAATGACTCGGTGTTTCACTTCTCCCTCCCCCCTCAAGGCTCGCTATACGAATGGCACCCAAAACAAAGCATGTATGTTATCACCAATACCCTGTTCCCAACCAAATTACTTTGAGGGCAAGACTCTTGAGAGTTTACTTTTTGTCATTAAGTATTAAGCAAAGCCCAAAATGAAATCCAATTAACATGGGACAAGGAAAAATAGCAGTTGAGCAAAGATCATTTTCATTGATACCAGATTCAAAATTCCTTAAACAAGTAAGACATTTAATAACCAATCCAATACCTCATAAACAGTTCGTTATACATACTCTTTCCGTACAACCCGATCCGTACTAATAAGGATCTCCCAATACCTGTTGCTTTTGTTCAAATCTTCATATACCTTAATAAACCAGTAACCGTGAGATGTTAACAAGTCTGTCTTCAGACTCGCTCCTCATGAGGAGTGTAAAAGGCAGGGGGGAGAAAATAGAAGTGTGGGTCAAGGAGAATGTGTGTGGCCCTCAGACCTTGACAAATAAGGCTGTACGTGAAAAAGAGAGGAGGGTTTCACAAAAGCTCAATGACTCCAGGGAAACGTTACCCGGCTGATTTCTCAAGATAATGGAACTGCAGAGCAAGATCACTTTCTTCAGCGTGCTGAAGAGTCACCTGTGTCTTACCTTTGTAGCAGCTGAGAGTTGTGAGCAGGCATCTCTAGTAAGGGCAAGTCTTAACCGGGTTGGGTTAAAGTTGAGTTGGCTCCAAAAACAGGATTAATACAGGTCTAACCCAAGACATCCTTCTAATTTTAAATACATCCCCCAAGGCTATACCGTATATCCACTCCAACTCCAGAGAAGGGAAAATCCACACTCATATCAAGAGATGATACTTGGGGGCATCGTACAAGGCAGCGTGTACTATGAGAGACAAGATGAATGAGATCTGTGGATCCCTAAGCTCTTCTATGCCAGGAAAGTGCTGACTTGACGGTCAAGTATTAAGTTCAAGAACTCAAGTGAAAGTCCCCTTCATGGGAGCAGGCAGTCCTCCTAACTACGGTAGGGATGTGGGGTCTGACCCGAGGAAATAACTGGAAATTAAACCCAAAGTTTGGGATCTTCCTTGGAGCTGAGATCTATACTGGCCTCGGCTTTGACTCCATCCACTTGGATTATAGCTGTAAACAGCCCTTCGGGCTCAGTGCATTAACTCCCTACACAGGAAGAGAACTGGAGAACTGCAGAGAAGTTTGCTTTTCCCCATTTTCCAAGACTGCTTGTGTTTTGGGAACATTATCCCACTAGGAACATTTCGCAAGGTTGTAAAGACCCGGAACGATCCAGTGTGAGATGAAGGGGTGGGTGGCAGTAGATTGGAACAGTGGGGAAAGAAGAAATATTAGTACGTGAAAACAAGATAAACAATTCCGACACCTCAAAACTCTTGGCAGTTAAAAAAACGAGATTCAGATCCTCAAGAGTAACACATGCCAGCCTTGAAGCTTTTACTTATGAAGGCTCCAGACTCATAGGCTTAGGCAGCCTTTGCCCTAATTTACTCCAAAGGGGATGTTTATCTGGTTAGTAAGAAATATTTCCAAGTGAACTTTTCAGAGACAGCTGCAGATACATGAATAAAAGTGAAACTTGCATTAAAAACCTTGTATTTGAAAAAAGGTAATTTTAAGATTAACTTCATTTACATTGTGGACAGTCATTGTTAATTCTTGAAATTTCCCATCAGTTAAGATCTTTTATCCTATCACCTCATTCCATATCCAAGTAGTATCCCTTTCCCAGCAGAGTTCTTTGATAGTAAATAGTAAAAGAGCCCTCGTTTTAAGACAGCTCTCCAAAGACCAAACCAGAAAAGATGCTGAAGGAAAGGTTAGATTCAACAAAATGGTAAAAAGGGGTGCACTGTGAACACTTTCAGAGCCAGTCTTTGATTAAATTAAGGTTTTTTCTTTTCAGAAAGTACCTATAAAAAAGTAAAAGACCACATTTGAAGGGGAGGAGGAATATGAAATTATGGTGAAAACCCATGCTGTGAAAAAGGTACTTCGTTTATAATACCTGCAGTGTTCTCCACTGGGGCCGTGTCCAGAGAGGCAGAAGACACTCACCTCACAACTGGCAACGAGCAGCAGCTGAAAAGGGCAGGTGGGGTGCTGGACTGGGGGCTACCCTCACTCCTAAAGTGGGTCCCTCTACCTTCCTGGCACTCATGGAGAACACTGCTGTTACAGACAGACCAAAACAAGGAGCTGCAAACCCAGGACTTAACACAGCAAAAACTGATGGATTACGTCAAAGTCGAGAATGAACACCTGATACCTCATCTTAAGAAAACAAGACTTTAAGGTCTCAAACTTACAACACGCAAAATGTCGCTCAGAACAAACTGTAACAATCTGAAAACGCATTTGGGTGCAGAACGTGTATTTACCTATATAAGCTCTTTCTTGTTCCCGAGTAAGTCCGGGGGGGATAACCGTAGGCATTCCTGGAATCACCGTCTTCTGTTCCATCGTATCTTGGTTCCATCGGCTCCTCTTCCGCTTCTTACTTGGGAAGTCTACAGGCAGACAAGGTCCATCAAATGCAAATATAAACCAGCGAATTATAAACAAGCAGATCAGGACACTGCACACAACCTCCGCAGACCGGGAGCCTGAGAACTTGACCTACGACATTTTATAAACGGCAAAAAATAAAAACAAACCCGGGAAATCAGAGACACGTAGCCACTACAAGGGTATCTGGACCTGGGTCCGAAAAGGTAACATTTCACATTTATAGTATGTCCAGGGAAACTGTGAGGTACGTAAACAATCTAATAAATCTCTACGTCTAAAGTTTCAGACCTACATCAACCGTGGATATCGCAGAAGCCAAAGTATACTGAATAATCAGGCTCGTACAATAATATTGAAGAAACCGCTGTTTCTTCCCACGTCCCCCTCCCCACCAGTCACCTTTCCAAATTGGCCAGAACTCAGCGAAACCAATGATTTACTAAGTGAAAAAGCCCAACTTTTCAACAAGATTAGTTTTTTCTTCATCAGTTTGGCCAAGATAAGCAACCTTCCTGGCCAATTCGACACTCAGTATCTGACGTATCAAAGATTCAACAAAGAGCAAGCTATACGACAGCCACCAAGTCCTCCTCCTCCGATACAACGGCGGGAACTCCCTACACTTTTAATACACACAGGTCAGTTCTACTTCCCAGGGGGTGCAGGCCCAGGGGCAAAGCCCCAACACTAAGGGGAAGCATTATCAGACTTCTCTACAGTAAATGAACCGAGACTAGGAAAAACTTCTCTCCCTCCAAAAGGAGCATAGGCCTCAACCGCACCCTGAGGAGTTCCAAACTTTCTATCACTGTAATGAAAACCTTGCCTCGCTGTAGAAAAAGCCGCCTCCTTGCTACTTTTCTGCTTTTGGGGGACCGGTCTACAACCAGGAAGGAGGCGCTCCACGTCATCAGTTGACCCTTTCACGCTTTCCTGACATGCACACCCACCACCCCGTCCACCAAATCAACTCACTCCACGCCCTTCTCCTACACCAGGGGCTAGAACACAACACAGACCACCCCCCCCCCCCCCGCCCCGCCAGATTTTAGTCGGGCCGCGGAGCCCGGCCACCACACTGCGCCTGCGCACAGCAGCCCTTCGCCCTCCCCGCTCCCTCCAGCGCGCGTGCGCACTCGGGGCCCAAGAACCGGGCCGCGCGCCCCGTGGCGCCTCCGCCCGGGGCCTCCCCGTGCGCGCGCGC